CTGCTTTCTACTTTCTTTTTGTCCTGCTTGAGCAGTACTGCCTCTCTCCTGTGCTTGGAATGGACCCTGGAGCAGTGGTTGGCGGGCTCCTTTACAGGATTATTTTAATTTCTGAATAGTATTTTCCATATGTGACCTTGGACATGGTTTTTTTAATCACAGAATCATTAAAGGTTGGAAAAGGCCTCGAAGATCATTGAGTCCAGCCATCACCCCAACACCCCCTCACCCCCACGCCTGCTAAACCATGTCCCAAAGTGCCACATCCACACGGTTTTTGAACCCCTCCAGGGATGGTGACTCCCCCACTGTCCTGGGCAGCCTGGTCCAAGGCCTGACCACTCTTCCAGTAAAGAAATTTTTCCTAATATCCAGTCTAAACCTCCCCTGGTGCACCTTGAGGCCATCGTCTGACCACAGGCAGAGTTAAACCTCAGTGTTCCACCAAAACAGCAGTAAAGGCCGTGGCATCAGCGTGCTGGCTAGAGCAGCTGCTTCCTCCTCTGGAGAAAAAGCAGGACTTTTTTTTTTTTCACACCACTGCATCCAAATTTAAATCAAAGATTCCTTATAAATACTGCTAAAAACCTGTGTAGTGCACACGCGTTCTCTGTAACTGGGGTTCCTGCTGCTTCCCTTTGTGCTGGGCATTTCTTGCGCTCCCTGGAAGTGGAGCTGCGCCGGCTGCTCGGCGTCGCCTGGGTCGGTGTCCCAGCACCGCTGGCACGTCAGCGAGCACGAGCCGTCCAGGCTGCTGCCGGAGCGGGGCGCAGGCCCTCCGCTCTGCTTTCAGCTTAGGCACAACGGACGAGGGGTTTGGAGGTAGTTATGCGTTTCATTCTTAATTGACAATGATTTTAATTAGAATTACATGCATAATTATCGCTGAGGATCTGAGCCCGTGCCCTTGGTCTTGCGGTGGCTGAGTGTAGTTTCACCAGAGCTGTTCCAGTGCACGCGTGCTGCTTTTCCTAGAGTTTTAAAGCAGAAATAGTTTCTCCTTTTACTGTGGTTACAGAAGATGGCAGGTAACAGATACAGACGCTGGCTTTGGGGATAAGTGGGACCGTGACTCACAGTTTCATCCAGAACGCAGCAGCAGAGAGGTGGGCTCAGGGATGCAGCAGCAGTGCTCGGTGCTGACTGACACAGGGATCCCGCAGCCAGCAGCGCTCCCTTTACCCACGGTTTAGGATCACTGTTCGGCAAACCTCGCACCCAGTCCCCGACCCGCAGTGTCGCTGTGACTGGCCCGAGGTGACAATTACCCCTTTCAGAAAAAAACCAGCACGGAACACCCAAGACCAGCATCAGGTGGGCAACCTCTGAGCCGAGGTTTATGTTTACTCTTAGGCTGCCCAAGGAGAGACGCCGAGCTCTCGGACCGAAGCTCTCCAGGATGCTGCGACAGAGGGGCCTGGATTCACACCCAGCTCTGTTCTCTCCGGGCTCCTGGCGCCCGGCAGTTTGCGTGGAGGAGGAGCTGGATGTCCAGGCGCTTGCAACCCCCCCGGAGAGGCACAGAGCCCAGCCCGGGAGAGCTCCGCTGCCAAGAGCCCGCTGCAGCCGCAGCCCAGGGCACCGGCAGCAGCTTCTGCCAGCAGCTCAGCTCACGCGCGCCCGTGAGATCCGCGTTCCTCAAGGCTTAACGTCCCTTCCTACCACCAGCTTTGTGAGCACCACCGGAGTTCGGACCGAGCGTGGGGTAGGGCAGGAGAAGGCTTTTTATGTTGAAAGTGAGGTAAATGGGACACCAACGGGTGCAGCCACCTGCGTGTCCACGTAGCGCCCAGCATCGAGGACGAGCCGCACAGGCGTTTGCTGCGAGTTACAGCTCGCTCTGCGGAGCAGCTCAGACGCCGATCACCGTCGCTCGGACCAGGGAAGAGTCAGGCTGGTTCCCCTTACCCAGCCTGATGGGCACGGGGTTCCTCCTGCTGATTAAAAACCCTGGATGCAAAGAACAGGCCAACAAAACTGAGTACTTACCCACAGCTGAGGAACACATTTGCCTCGTGCCGAGGAGCCCGATCGCTGCCTGGCGCTCCCTTGGCCCCTCGCCCCGTCTCCTGGGCTGTCCCCCGGCCCAAGCACCGGGCTCCTGTGAGCTGCTGCCAGAGCCGCTCCAGCAGCCAGGAGCGAGCAGAGACCCTCTGGGCGAGGGGAGACCCCACACCCACCTGCACTGTGTTTTACTGGGTGATGGGGGGGTGATCACGGGAAAACACGGCTCACCTCGTTCCGTGGCTCCAGGAAAGGCCGTGCCCGCCGGGCAGGGCGTCCGGCGCGTTGCTGCGTTCCGAGGCACAGCCGTAGCGCGGGGTGCAGACAACAGGGAGCTTCGGTTAGGAGCTCCATAGAAACCATTTCTCCCACTTTTGAGCCTAAAACGAGTGTTCTAGCGCACGTGTTCCGCACAGACCACGGACGGGTCTGAGGGATGGCTGCTCACCGGAGGGACGAGGGACCCCGCAGCACAGCACCCAGTGCAGCCGCTCACCTTCACAGCCGCCCGCTCCCCGAGCGGGGCGAGCCGGGAGCACACTGCTCCCAGCCCGACTCCGTGCCCACCTCCTCCCCCAGCTCGCTCCCGCGTTTCTTCTCCTGGAAATGAGAAGCACGCACTGAGCGCGAGGACAACGCAAGGCAGCTCCGAGTTCAATCCCATTCCCGCGGCCATCCCCGGGGCAAGCAGCAGCAGCTTTGTCTTCTCCCCACGCTTCTCCGTCACAGAACCAGGGATGGCAGCGATCACAGCTGCCTCCTCTCTGCTCGCTGAAGAACAGCCCCTGCAGAAGCCTGCTGAGGTGACACGGACAACGCTCCTTCGGGCTGGGGAAGCTCTCGGCACGCCGCGTTCATCCAGCCCCTGCTGACCGGGCGCCAAGGTGTCACCACGCCAAAACAAGCGGCCGCTCAAGCACGTCTCAGAAGCCTCACCTTGAATTTCCAGCTCACACAACTGCTCTCCCGGCGATCTCCCCCGGCCCAGCTCCCCGCTGCCAGCGCGCACGCTGGGCTCCGTCACCCACGCAGCCGAGCGCTCCGTCCCCAGGACCCCCGCACCCCACCGTCAGCCCTCCCGACGCGGTGCTCCCACACCCGGCCGTTAGCCCTGCGAGTTAACTGGTCACGGGGGTCAAGTGGGTTTTGGGCAAATACGGGAGAGTAATTTTATCCAATTGACAATAAAACCTGTTTTTGGAGAAAGTGAAGTGATAAAAATTTCATGAATCATCAAAAACTATTTAATTGAAAGTGGTACAAGCAAATCATGTTTTATATAATAGAAGATTTCATCATATCCTTTTTCTTTTTACTTGTATTTCCACTTACATTTGCTGAAAAAATAGATCAAAAATAGACAGCACTAATCTATTCCCTGCATACGAGCAGCCAGCCTTCGGCCTCAGAGGTTTGAAAGCAAACAAGCTCCAGGCTGGCTCGCTGGGCCGGTCATCTCACAAACGGAGGAAAAAGTTGTCAAAATACACAGAGCAAGTCCAGGTAAACATTTAAAATTTATTAAACTTTTTGGTCAAAATAATTGAACAAGTATGTACAATCCCGCTGCACGAGCTCTGTTAGGGATTTCAGGAACACGGTCAAACCTGGCGCTTTCGGGACCCGCAAGTTCCGCATCTCAGCATTTCCAGATAGTGTCACACCGACACACAGCACACGATTGTTTTAATTTAAACTTTACCTGCAGAAGCCCACAGTCGGTCGTACTTCCTAGCTTACTGGGAACAGGAGGGGCACTCTGGGGCCATGAATGGGGAGGGGAGGGACGCAGGCGCTTGGCTCTCGCCCCCGCAGCTCAGTGCAGTAACTGCCATCCGCCCTCGTCTTTAACTGGAGTGTAAACCACACCTCTGCTTCCTCCGGGAAGCTCCAGGGACCTCGTTTTTCGGAAAGAATTCCTAATTTGCAGGCACATGTCACAGCGTGTCACGCTACCAAGGCGTGCCGCACCGGCTTCGGGACCGTTTCTCACCAGGGCGATGAGAAGGTCGATGCATTTTAGGCCTCTTTTTTGGTGGGGGTGGGGGAAAAGTACCTAAGGCTTAAAAGAAAAGTTAGCAAGAACAGAGTTACACCAAGCGCCGTGAAGAGCAGCTCGTGGCCCCGGCGTTCTCCGACAGCTCGCTGCTGAGGCTGCAACGCGCCGGAGCGCATTCAGCTGCGTTGCTGCTTGGCATAATCCAGGGCGGTTGGGGTTTTTACTGGCTTGAACTGCAAGGTGAATATACAATATATTACGCCAAGTATTTAAAATAAACTATATCTTCATGACAAATACTAAAAAGGTTAAAAAAAACCATAATGCACGTAAGGTATGTTTGTAGCTAACGTTGCGAGGCATCAGGTAAACTGGATTTTTGTCTTCAGAGAAGAAAATGCGTCAGATGTTCTGTGTCCCCTTCTGCGCGAGGGGTCACTTTCTGTTAAGGCTGGGGATGTCTCCGCACTGACCTCTGCAAGCTCCTTCTCGGTGCACACGCAGCATTTCACAAGAAAACCAGTGCAACTTCAACTAAATGACATGGAAACTCTAAATTTAGGATTTGAAATACTACACAAAAAAGTCTGTATTAGTCTGCCAAAAAAATCAGTTCTGGGGGGCAAACACTGTCCAGTCTGCCCATCAGGGTTACTCTGCACCATCTCAGTACATGCAATAAAAAAATAAAAAGACTGAATACATACCTTCAGATTTAAAAACACTTTTGATAGGCTGTTATTTTATTAAGTGGTTTGCACCAGCAGGTGTGGTTATAGATACAGTGGGTGAGTAAATAGCCATGGAAACCTGCCTACGGCCCCGGCTGCAGCCCTCCCGAAGTGCTCGCAGGTCACACCCCCCAGGCCCGGGCAGGGGCCAGCGGAGGAATGGTCACAGGCAGTAAGCACAACACACGTCTTGAAAGGCCCAAATATTACAGCAGAGAAAGAGCGCGAGAGAGAGACACATTACATTTTTATGACAATTTTTCTCCTTGGGTGTTAAATTTTTGGTCTATAAACTGGAAAGGAAGGCTCAGACTTAAATAAATACACTTGTTTGGAGTATTGGCCTCACTGAGCGCCGTCCATCAGTTCTGCCTCTGGAGGGTTGCTCCCAGAGCACGGCGACTGACGCTCCCTGCCCCGCCGAAGGCAGAACCGCACCGTGAACGCAAAAACCAGGCCAGATCCTCTCCTTTGCCTAAAGGGAAGTAAGTGCATCAAAGTTCTTCACTGGTAGGACAACAAGGCCTTCTCTTTTACAGATAAACAACTGAGCTGAACTATGCAAGACGACGACTCTGTCCTCAGGTAAGTCATCTCTAGTTAATTTTGTCCTGGAATATATACAAATTATTGGTGGCAGCTACGGCAATGATGTTCTCCACGGGATGCCATGCTGTGTGGAGAATCTTCTTGTTGAAGTCCAGACTGTCAACGCTTATTTCGTCCTTCTTCCTCTTGCCACCCGTGCACACTTTGCGCGGCTTCAGGATGGCACGAGGCTTGCTGCTCTCCCTGGATGCTTCCAGAGTGATATCCCGTCGCGTGTTTCGGTCAAACATTCGAAAGAAGTTGTTGTAAGATCCAGTCATGATCGCACTGTTTGAAAGCGGAAGAAAAGGAAATCTTACCAGGTTTCCAGACACCGCACTCAGCCCCCACCCTCTCCCGCAGCAGGCGGCTGTCAGACCAGGGACACGGCCTGTACGTGGCACCACGCTCCTCGCCGTTCGGGCTCCAGCACCGCTTCCACCCCGCTGCTCTCCCTCCCAGGCCTCGCCCTGGTCCCCCTCCCCGCCACCGGCAACCGGCAGCGGTCACCGCGGCGGGAGCCAAGCGGCCTTTCCCCCGG